AGGAGGCCATGGAGATGCTGGGAGAGCTGGAGCACCTCTCCTGGGAGGGGAGGCTCAGAGAGTTGGGGGGGTTCAGCCTGGAGTAGAGAAGGCTCCGGGGAGACCTTGGAGCCCCTTCCAGTCCCTCAAGGGGGGGGGCTCCGGGAAAGCTGGGGAGGGACTCTTGATGAGGGAGGGGAGCCCCAGGAGGAGGGGGAAGGGTTTGACCCTGCAAGAGGGGAGATGGAGCTGAGCTGTGGGGAAGAACTTGTTTGGTGTGAGGGTGGTGAGAGCCTGGCCCAGGTTGCGTGGAGAAGCTGTGGCTGCCCCATCCCTGGAGGGGTTCAAGGGCAGGTTGGAGGGGGCTTGGAGCAACCTGCTCTGGTGGGAGGTGTCCCTGCCCAGGGCAGGGGGTGGCACTGGGGGGGCTGTAAGGTCCCTTCCTACCCAAAATGTTCTATGATTTTGTGTCTGGGCTTGCAGATGGAAGCGGTGACTACTCTAATAGTTAAGGAGCTAAACCTTTGGAAGCTGAATATTTTTGCTATTCTTACTATTTGTAACATCCTCTTCAGTTCTCTCCATTTCTGGACTGCAGGAGATTTTACTTCATTAACTTTATCATTGAAATAAATGAGTGAATGGTGATATTTAGCATGCTAGGATTAATGCAGAAATGATTGCAGAGTCACAAAGTCTATCACAAGGAACAATCAAATACAGAGAACAGCACAAGTGAAATATGTGACCTTTTAGCTCAACTCAGGGCTGAGCAGATGAACTTAGGCTGTGGTAGGAGATGGAGAGCTGATGTAATCAGCCTCTTCTCCTCAAGGATGCCTTTTTCTAGCACAGCTTCATAAAGCAAAACTGTTCTATAGTATGCAAAAAAATGATCCCAGGAATTATCTTACCGTTGTTGAGCATGGGAATGGCACCAACAGAACTGGTGAAGCAAGTGTCTACAACTGGAAGTATCTCATGAAGAAGAGATGTTGGCTGTAGGATCACTTGCAGTTAATCCGAAAGCAACTTCCAAAGGATAAAGCTGGAATTGGTTGGAAACAGTGAGGTCAGATCTCCCTCCAGACACTGGCCTTGGTGGTTTCACATCACTGTGAGACAGGAGGACTTCCCACCAGCCCCGAAGGAGATCCTAATATGCTTCTAAGAGACCAGAGTGTTATTTAGGGGCAGTAGAACTGACCAGACCTGCAGAGACAAGCAGCCCATGGACAGTGGGAGCTGCCTGGAAGGGATTTTCCTTAGACTTGAGCATCTTTGCATTTAGAGTTGTTTTATTTTTGTCCCTTATGGACATCATTGTCACAGGCATCAGCTCCAGGTGTTTCCTCTCCCCCATCCTTACCTGGGTCAGACAGGGTTAACCTCACACCCCACACATGAGCGAGAAGACATTTTTGACTTCGAGCCAGGGTCAGTTCTAGGATAGCTTCAGCTTTTGCATACAACATGTTGAAGTTAGAGAAGGAAAGAAAAAAAAGATAAAAATCACAGAATGGGTTGGAAGGGAGTTTAAAGGTCATTGAGTTCTCCTCCCCTGTCCTGGGCAGGGACACCTCCCACCAGCCCAAGTTGCTCCAAGCCCCCTCCAACCTGGCCTTGAGCCCCTCCAGGGATGGGGCAGCCACAGCTTCTCCACACAACCTGGGCCAGGCTCTCACCACCCTCACACCAAACAAGTTCTTCCCCACAGCTCAGCTCCATCTCCCCTCTTTCAGGGTCAAACCCTTCCCCCTCCTCCTAGGGCTCCCCTCCCTCATCAAGAGTCCCTCCCCATCTCTCCTGGAGCCCCCCCTCCTTGAGGGACTGGAAGGGGCTCCAAGGTCTCCTGAAGTCTTCTCTTCTCCAGGCTGAACATTCTCCCAGTGGGGAGTGCTTCTGTGTTTCATATGGAGGCAGGGAATAGACAGCCAGATACAACAGAGGCTGTATCATTAGGAACATTTTAAAAAAAGCAACCAATATATCTGAAAAACTTCTGGGGGTAGGTGCTTTGATCTAAAGACTCCTTAAAGCATTTGAAGTATTATAAAGCTCTACAGAACACGCAGCCATGGACTTTGCCTGACCTAAACCTGTGCATTTTCTCATTGCTCCCCTCTTTGCTATTCCTTCCAAAAGTTGCTAAGGGTTTGCTGGAGGCTCATTTCTGCTTCAGAGGAAAAAAAAAATAAAAAATAAAGATAAACACGGCTGTGAGCCTTCACACAGCTACTGATGGCTTCTGCAAGTCCCATGTGGGAGGCTCTGAACCCTTATTCCCAGGGAAAGGGGAGGGAGCTTTGAAGCAGCACAGATATTCAGGCAAAACCAGATTATGGGCTGGGGGAGGAATGCCGTGCCCATCAATAGGTGAGGGATTTTTCCAAAAGCAGCCTGTGGAGAGCTGCAGGACAAGGACAGTTCTGCCAAGACAAAGAGAAAAATAAATAAATAAAGATAAGCACGGCTGTGAGCCTTCGCACAGCTGCTGATGGCTTCTGCAAGTCCCATGTGGGAGGCTCTGAACCCTTATTCCCAGGGAAAGGGGAGGGAGTTTTGAAGCAGCACAGATATTCAGGCAAAACCAGATTACAGGCTGGGGGAGGAAAGCTGTGCCCATCAATAGGTGAGGGATTTTTCCAAAAGCAGCCTGTGGAGAGCTGCAGGACAAGGACCTCTTGTCCTGTCCCTGGGCACCACTGAAAAAAAGACTGTCCCCATCCTCCTGACACCCACCCTGACTCCTACATTTACAGATCCCACCATTTCCCAGTCCAGACCAGCAGCCTTGTTCCATCCCCAGAGCACTTCCATCTCCCCAATGCTACTTCACTTCAGTACAAAGTTGATTCAGAGGAAGATTTTTATTGTCACTCCCACTTGTCACTGAAAGACCAGACACCAGAGCTCAGCTGAGGACCTTGAGCAAGCACTGCTGACCCAACAGACAACCAGGAGGTGGGAACAGAAGTGGAGGACCTCCTACATTGGAGCAGAGACACAGGGTATGGCCCTTCCTGGGACAGAATGGAAATACCTGCCTTTGTCAGCAGCTGGAAGTCAAGGCAGAGATCAAGGTCCACCAACAAAACTCATGCAGAGCGCTTACTGGGGTGTGTGACCTGTTTGAGCAGACAGACCTAACGTTATTTATGCCAGCTCCTCTTGCAGGAGAAGGGCAAGTCAGGTACCTTCATCTGTGGGATTCACAGCCCCTTGGATCCCTCAAGGGAGCATCACAAGGGCCAGGGGCAACAGAACCAGGACAGACCACAGCAGAGCACACACGGCTTTGTCCGCCTCAGGAGTCATGTTCTCCATCTCAGCAGGGGAGTTTCTCTTTTTCCAAGCATAGAACTTCGCCACAAGCACATTGGGGTTTCCCTGGGCAGGGTCAAACCACATCTGGATGCAGCGCCCGCTGCCCCGGTGCTCTGTGGTGTATTTGTAGGAGTTCGACCAGATTTTCTCACACAGATCTTTTGGTCGGGGGAAGACTTCACTGAAGGGTCTGCACATGGAGCCCCAAGGACAGCGGTTCGTTCCTGAGGACAGACAGCACCAGAAAAAGAGAACAACATGAGCTGACACATTTCGTAGAATGGTTCAGGTTAGAAGGGACCTTGAAGATCAAGTTCCAACACCCTGCCCTGGGCAGGGACACCTCCCACCAGAGCAGCTTGCTCCAAGCCCCCTCCAACCTGCCCTTGAACCCCTCCAGGGATGGGGCAGCCACAGCTTCTCGGGGCAGGGAATAGACAGCCAGATACAACAGAGGCTGTATCATTAGGAACATTTTAAAAAAAGCAACCAATATATCTGAAAAACTTCTGGGGGTAGGTGCTTTGATCTAAAGACTCCTTAAAGCATTTGAAGTATTATAAAGCTCTACAGAACACGCAGCCATGGACTTTGCCTGACCTAAACCTGTGCATTTTCTCATTGCTCCCCTCTTTGCTATTCCTTCCAAAAGTTGCTAAGGGTTTGCTGGAGGCTCATTTCTGCTTCAGAGGAAAAAAAAAATAAAAAATAAAGATAAACACGGCTGTGAGCCTTCACACAGCTACTGATGGCTTCTGCAAGTCCCATGTGGGAGGCTCTGAACCCTTATTCCCAGGGAAAGGGGAGGGAGCTTTGAAGCAGCACAGATATTCAGGCAAAACCAGATTATGGGCTGGGGGAGGAATGCCGTGCCCATCAATAGGTGAGGGATTTTTCCAAAAGCAGCCTGTGGAGAGCTGCAGGACAAGGACAGTTCTGCCAAGACACTCCTGGGAGGTGACTGCTGGGCTGGGAAAGCCGGTACCACTTGCACCAGAAATTTGCATTTTGCTCCAGCACTTCATGCACAGGAGGTCAGACGACTCCTGCTGCTTCTCCTGGCTCAGAGGGAGGCAGAAGAAGCACGGAAGCGTGTCTGTGACCAGGAAGGAGATGTTACAGGTGCTTCTCTCTCATGGCTAGTTGTGGTCTGCTGCAGAAGCCCTGGTGCAGACATCCAGTTGTCTGAGTGCAACTCAGTTCTCAGGAGAACTACATCTTCCCTGCCCACAGACTCACAGAATGATTTGGGGTTGGCAAGGACCTCTAGAGACCCCCTGGGCCCAACCCTCTGCCAGAGCAGGTCCACCCAGAGCAGGTTGCGCAGGAACATGTCCAGGGGGGTTGAATATCTCCAGAGAAGGAGACCCCACCACCTCCCTGGGCAGCCTCTGCCAGGGCTCTGCCACCCTCACAGTGAAGAAGTTCCTCCTCATGTTTAGATGGAGCTTTTTATGGTCAAGTTTGTGCCCATTACCTCTTGTCCTGTCCCTGGGCACCACTGAAAAAAAGACTGTCCCCATCCTCCTGACACCCACCCTGACTCCTACATTTACAGATCCCACCATTTCCCAGTCCAGACCAGCAGCCTTGTTCCATCCCCAGAGCACTTCCATCTCCCCAATGCTACTTCACTTCAGTACAAAGTTGATTCAGAGGAAGATTTTTATTGTCACTCCCACTTGTCACTGAAAGACCAGACACCAGAGCTCAGCTGAGGACCTTGAGCAAGCACTGCTGACCCAACAGACAACCAGGAGGTGGGAACAGAAGTGGAGGACCTCCTACATTGGAGCAGAGACACAGGGTATGGCCCTTCCTGGGACAGAATGGAAATACCTGCCTTTGTCAGCAGCTGGAAGTCAAGGCAGACATCAAGGTCCACCAACAAAACTCATGCAGAGCGCTTACTGGGGTGTGTGACCTGTTTGAGCAGACAGACCTAACGTTATTTATGCCAGCTCCTCTTGCAGGAGAAGGGCAAGTCAGGTACCTTCATCTGTGGGATTCACAGCCCCTTGGATCCCTCAAGGGAGCATCACAAGGGCCAGGGGCAACAGAACCAGGACAGACCACAGCAGAGCACACACGGCTTTGTCCGCCTCAGGAGTCATGTTCTCCATCTCAGCAGGGGAGTTTCTCTTTTTCCAAGCATAGAACTTCGCCACAAGCACATTGGGGTTTCCCTGGGCAGGGTCAAACCACATCTGGATGCAGCGCCCGCTGCCCCGGTGCTCTGTGGTGTATTTGTAGGAGTTCGACCAGATTTTCTCACACAGATCTTTTGGTCGGGGGAAGACTTCACTGAAGGGTCTGCACATGGAGCCCCAAGGACAGCGGTTCGTTCCTGAGGACAGACAGCACCAGAAAAAGAGAACAACATGAGCTGACACATTTCGTAGAATGGTTCAGGTTAGAAGGGACCTTGAAGATCAAGTTCCAACACCCTGCCCTGGGCAGGGACACCTCCCACCAGAGCAGCTTGCTCCAAGCCCCCTCCAACCTGCCCTTGAACCCCTCCAGGGATGGGGCAGCCACAGCTTCTCGGGCCAACCTGGGCCAGGCTCTCACCACCCTCATAATGAGAGATTCCTCCCCAATATCTCATCTCAATTTCCCCTCTTTCAACTTAAAACCATTGCCCCTCCTCCTAGGGCTCCCCTCCCTCATCAAGAGTCCCTCCCCAGCTTTCCTGGAGCCCCCCCCTTTAGGGACTGGAAGAAGCTTGAAGGTCTCCCCGGAGCCTTCTCTTCTCCAGGATCCTTTCACTAGGGAGGATTAAGACACCTCCTCACTACCCATCACTGCATTTTAGCTGATGGATGGTGGCTTGGCCACCTTCTAGTTGACAACCCCACAGACAGGTGGCAGCAATTAGGGATTTTGGCTCCAACCACTGGGCATCCAGCCGTGACACCGCCATGGGTGCCTGCAGGGGTGGGGAGACGGTGCTCCACTCAGCCCACCAACCTGTTGCCCAGTTCCAGCCCTTGTGCCAGTTCTCTTTGCACGTGAGATAGTCCTTGCAGTCCTCCCACCACTCCTCGCAGTCCTCTTTGCAGAGGGGCACGTGAAGAATCCTCTCCCGACGCCAGCTGCTGTCAACCTGCAAGGGAACAGGACTGTGCACACTGGTGGTGACCCTTCAGAGTCAAGGGGCAAGACCAACCACATCCCAAATTCCCCCACCAGCCCCTTCCATTGGGCTCCAGAGCTGATCTCAGAAGAGCTTCAGCCCCAGCAGAGACCTGTGTTTACAAGCAGTAACTCCTCCCATCAGCCCATCTGACCACCTAAGCAGAGGTTACCAAAGTCCTTTGAATTTTTCCACCCAGTAGGAAAGTTTGCAGTGCCCCTGGAAAGCACACTCCCAGACATGCCAGGGGTATTCTGTATGGGGGACCAGCATCAGGTGGCCAACACAAGCCCTGTTGTCCCAGCCACAGAGAACCTGATCATAGAATCACCTAGGTTGGAAGGCACCTTTCAGATCAAGTCCAAATCACAGAGAACCTGATCATAAAATCGCCTAGGTGGGAAGGGACCTTTCAGATCAAGTCCAAACACATCTGACCAGATCCTACCTGGTCAATCCAGGGCCCCAGGTTGGGCGAGCACTCGTACAAGCACGTGTCCTGGATGAAGTGGCGCTTGCACTTGGGTGGCATCACCCCACAGTGGTTCCAGTTGAAGTTGTACAGGTTGGATTGGTCCTTGTGGGCTTCTGAGCTGGTGTTGGCTGTGCAGCAGGCATTGTCCTTCCAGGGAGAACACTGCAACAGGGCAAGAAACAGGCTGGTCATGGAGCACCTCGAGGGAGTCAGAGGATGCTGTGGGTGCCAGCTCCCTGCATAACCAGCAGGGAGAAACCTTCAGTAGCAAGAACATCTACTCCAGCAAGCTCTTGGGCACTTTGGGCTGAAGAGCTCAGGGCTGCAGCAGTGTGGATTTGAAAGAGCAGGAGGAGGAGGTCACATCCTCACCAGGAGTTAGTGCCAGCCTGAGGAATAGAAACAAACTCCCTCCTCTCGCTCCCTGGCTTGCTCTTAGCTCCAGCTCCACCAAGAACCCAGGGGAAGAACTCTTCAGTTAGCAAGAAGAGTCTTTAATAAACAGGGAGCAAATAAGAACATCTTTCATTACCATCCTTTATCTTGTTCTGATCTGGGCTACCTAATCTTCGGGAAGGAGAGGCATTCTGGTTATAGAGGGGTGACGTTGACCTGGCAGGAATCCTCACACCACTGTGTCTACCCTGGCCATCTGCTAGAAGACAACAGCCAAACAACAGGCCTCATACCCAGCACAGGTTTTCCTCCTCAGGCAGGTGGTTCACTAAGCCCAAAGCTGTTGGTATCACCTGGGGCAGTAGGTAGAGGGAACCCACCCAACCCACCAGCAGAGCCATACCTGGTCATGCAGCTTCCCCTCCGGGCCAGGCTTGGTTTTGTGGTGTTTGGCATCCATACAGATGTTCAGCAACGGGTCCTTTGCAGGTATCACGGTGCAGGCAGCCAACAGCACAAGCATCACCTGCCCCAATCCCATCCCCATGGCCAGCCCAGTTGGATCAGGGAGCTGGAAGGTGATGGAGATGTATGGAAAGTGGACAGCACAAGAGGAGTTTTGCCACAAAGAGCAGTAAATGATGTGCTGTGGGGGCCAGGCTCTCCCAAGGACACACCAGCATCCCACAGCACCAAGGAGATAAGGACGGCTGCCCCAAGCAAAGCTGCAAGGTCAACTGCATGTTTTCCTCTGGCCAATGCTACACCAAAAAACTCTTTTAGTGCTTGTGCTGTTCAACAGTTAACAGGTAGAGGGAACCCACCCAACCCACCAGCAGAGCCATACCTGGTCATGCAGCTTCCCCTCCGGGCCAGGCTTGGTTTTGTGGTGTTTGGCATCCATACAGATGTTCAGCAACGGGTCCTTTGCAGGTATCACGGTGCAGGCAGCCAACAGCACAAGCATCACCTGCCCCAATCCCATCCCCATGGCCAGCCCAGTTGGATCAGGGAGCTGGAAGGTGATGGAGATGTATGGAAAGTGGACAGCACAAGAGGAGTTTTGCCAAACAGCAGTAAATGATGTGCTGTGGGGGCCAGGCTCTCCCAAGGACACGCCAGCAGCCCACAGCACCAAGGAGATAAGGACAGCCCCCCCGAGCAAGGCTGCAAGGTCAACTGCATGTTTTCCTCTAGCTAATGCTACATCAACCTCAAACATCCCTGATGCTGTGTGAGACCCCTCCACATGGGGTCCTGTTGCATTAAAGCCACCCCAGTGTCTTGGTACAGAGCTTTCAGCTCCCAAACCCTCTGCAACTGGACATTGTTAGTTGAGGGATCTCTTTAGTCAGTGGTTCAGAGAAGGCAAGGAGACACTTAAAAGCACTAGCACACGGACATCTTGTGTGGGCCACAAGCTGCAGGAGGCCCACCTTGTTATCAGGAATACATTAAGAGAAGAAGGCATTTTCCTCAATTTATCTTCATCTGGGCCTTAGGAGACCTATCCCTGAGGTCTCCAAAGGAGACCTGACTTGAGCAATAAGAGGTACTTCACACAATCCTGCTTTAGTCCCCTCTGCCCACCCAGAGGCTGATAGGACTTTCATAGTAATTTACTAAAAAAACTCAGTCAATAACCCCCCAGAACCAGCCAGAGGCACCAAAACATTCCCTCATTCCTTGTCAATACATAAGGGTCTAAAACAATCACTTTTTAAGCAGCATTTTGTAAAGCACAGGAACAAGGCAAGCCATTTACAGCATTAAAATTGCATAACACAACACAGACAACAGCACTTACAGGGAACAAACACATAAATCTGAGGACTAGGAAGTAGTTAACTTGCATCATAATTATACAAAACTGCCCAAATAAAACCCCAAGTTTCTACCTTACCAGCCCAGAAAACATCCAAACCCTCTGTAGCACCTTAACAACTCCCAGCAACTTCTGAGGTCAGCTTTAATAGGAAACCCTTCTGACACAGGTGCTGGCGTTTGAAAGGACCTTCTTAATATGATTAACGAGGTTCAACCTCTGCCAGCATTTTTTACCTTAGAAGCAGTTGTGTTGGTGACAACCAGCTTGCCCAGCCTCTTCCACAAGCAACACCCTCTAGCCTGGGAAACAATCTTGTGGGGTTTTTTTTTTTTGTGGCCTGGGAAACAATCTTGTGGGTTTTTTTCTTTTTTTTTTTTTTTTCAAATACCAACACCCTCTAGCCTGGGAAACAATCTTGTGGGGTTTTTTTTTTTTGTTTGTTTTGGTTTTTTTGTTTTTTTTTTAATAAAGGAAGGTTTCTTATCAACCTCAGTTGTTTGTAAAAAGCCCTTTTTCCTCTGCTCGCCTCACACCAATCAGTTTGGGTTTGCACGGAGGGACAGGTCAGGGATTCTGCTGGGCACCAGGAATGAATAAAAATGGGCTAATGCTCATCACAAAAAAAGACAGGCAGGAATAAGACTTAGAAGGAAGAAGAGTTAACTCCCAACACAAAAAAATAAATGCTACCTGATGAGGGGAACAAGCACACCTCGTTGCAAAAGCCTGAGAATGATAATTGGAGCTAAAAGCAGGGGTTTGCTCACACAACTCCTTGGGAAGCCCTCACCCTCAGCAGAGGGGCAGAGCCTTCCTCCTGGAATGGTGCAGATTTTGGGGCTGTTTTGCTCTTTTCTTCACATCACAAGAACAGGGAACTGCTGGAGAGGGGACAGCAGAGGGCTGCAAAGATGATGGGGGGCCTGGAGCATGTCTCTTATGAGGAAAGGCTGAGGGACTTGGGTCTTTTTAGTCTGGAGAAGAGAAGGCTGAGGGGGGATCTCATCAATGCTTATAAATACTTAAAGGGTGGGTGTTGGGAGGATGGGGCTGGTCTTTTTTCAGTGGTGCTCAGGGACAGGACAAGAGGAAATGGGCACAGACTTGAATATAAGAAGTTCCACCTATACATGAGGAGGAACTTCTTTCCTGTGCAGGTGGCAGAGCCCTGGCAGAGGCTGCCCAGAGAGGTGGTGGGGTCTCCTTCTCTGGAGACATTCAAACTCCCCCTGGACACGTTCCTGTGCAACCTGCTGTGGGTGACCCTGCTCTGGCAGGGGGTTGGACTGGATGATCTCCAGAGGTCCCTGCCAACCCCATGTCAGTCTGTGATTCTGTGATCCCTGGCGTGTTGGTGATGCACCCACTTGCCCAAAGGAGCTCATCTTCCTAAATGGAATGCACAAAGGCCCCTCTCCTATTGGGAGTGACAATGAGCAGATCTTTCCCCCCACAACCCATCTCCAAGCCTTTGCCACCTCTGTCACATCTCCCCTCCGTCACCTCTTCCCACCCAAAGCTCACTCACTTCCCAAGATGAGTGTTTGGCTCTCTCGGGGCTGCGGCAGCATTTCGGATGCCTGACGCTGTCCTGGCCTTGTTTTCTGGTCCTTGCCGAGGAATTTCTAATAATCTGGTTTGTTTTCGGAGCTGCTGATCACTGAACTGTGTTGTGGTAACGCTATCGTAACTGTGACAGCTTGTTCCTGAGAGATAATTGTTAGCCACCAGCCTGTCATTTTCTATCTAAAGGGTTCTGTTTTCCCCCAAATGCATCACTGTTTTTTTTTTTCTCCACTGTGGGTTGGTGTTTTTTTTAATCTGTTGGTTTATTGTTCAGTGACTCAGTCTTACTGGGGTCTTCGGCACATTTTTGCAGCTGGTCCTCCTGTTCCTGGAGTAATTTAATATCATCAGAAACTTGGTTGCCTTGATGTTTTCCCCTCCCTTTCCCAGGCAAAATTTGTTGGAAGGAGGAAATTCCAGCACAGGTTCCTGTAGAGGTTCCCTGTAAAGGATAGCCGTGAACCTTTATTTCATAATTCCATTATTCACTGGTGTGTGGTATTTTACTCCCATTTCATGGCTGCTTATTTGATGGCCTTTGGTGGACATCTTGCCCAGAGCCCTTGGGAATCCAGGGAGACTCTGGACTCTGTCACCTGGATTTGTCCCAGTCAGAATCCTTTCCAGCCCCTGGAAGACTTGCAATATATTAGGGAGTCTTGTCTGAACGTTAGAAGAGCTGTATTGCCTTTCCCCATCTGGTGCACTTACCCATGTGCCTGCTGATTCAGTCATAGAATCATGGAATTGACAAGATTGGGAGGGACCTTCCAGATGATGGAGTCCAACCATCGACCCAACACTGACAAACCCACCACTGACCCATGTCCCTCAGCACCACCTCTGCCCGGCTCCAAAATCCCTCCAGGGATGGCGACTCCACCACTGCCCTGGGCAGCCTCTGCCAAGGCTTCACAGCCCTTTCCAGGAAGAAATTCTTCCCAAGCTCCATCCTCAACCTCCCCTGGGGCAACTTGAGGCCGTTTCCTCTTGTCCCATGGCCTGTTCCTTGGGAGAAGAGACCGAACTCCCATCTCTACAATCCTTTTTTGAATTTTCTGCAACCCTTTCTCCCACAGTACCATGTTCATGGCTGTGCAGATCCTTCAATCTCCCCAGGAAGCCTTTTCATGTATCCCTTGTGAGGGTGTAGACCTTGTCTTTGCAGGGGATGCTTGTGCATGTGACTGAGCACAAAACAGGGAAACTCCTTCCTCTCAGGTAGTCCTGCCCCTATCCTCATCCTTAACAGGATCAAAGAATGATCTGGGGTTGGCAGGGACCTCTGGAGACCCCCAGTCCCTTGCCCCCCACCCTTTAGCTCTTGCTCAGCATCCATGAGGTCCCCTCTCATTCTTCTCCAGCTTAATAGCCCCAGGTCCCTCAGTCTTTCCTCAGCAGAAAGATGCTCCAGTCCCTCATCATCCTCGCAGCCTCCGCTGGACTCTCTCCAGCAGCTCCCTGTCCTTCTGGAACTGGGTTCCCCAGAACTGGACACACTGGGATGGGTGGGTGGATGCGCCCACACTGACTCCATCCAGCTGATTTGCCTTGTGCAACCTCGCTCTAGGGTCTGGGATGGAGTCCCACCCCTGCCCCGCTGCAACTTGAGGCCGTTTCCTCCTGTCCCGTGGCCTGTTCCTTGGGAGAAGAGACCGAACTCCCATCTCTACAATCCTTTTTTGAATTTTCTGCAACCTTTTCCCCCACTGTACCATGTTCATGGCTGTGCAGATCCTTCAATCTCCCCAGGAAGCCTTTTCATGTATCCCTTGTGAGGGTGTAGACCTTGTCTTTGCAGGGGATGCTTGTGCATGTGACTGAGTCCCATCTCTACAATCCTTTTTTGAATTTTCTGCAACCCTTTCTCCCACAGTACCATGTTCATGGCTGTGCAGATCCTTCAATCTCCCCAGGAAGCCTTTTCATGTATCCCTTGTGAGGGTGTAGACCTTGTCTTTGCAGGGGATGCTTGTGCATGTGACTGAGCACAAAACAGGGAAACTCCTTCCTCTCAGGTAGTCCTGCCCCTATCCTCATCCTTAACAGGATCAAAGAATGATCTGGGGTTGGCAGGGACCTCTGGAGACCCCCAGTCCAACCCCCTGACACACCAGGGTCACCCAGAGCAGGTCCCACAGGAACGTGCCCAGGGAGTCTCCAGAGAAGGAGACTCCACCACCTCCCTGGGCAGCCTCTTCCAGGGCTCTGCCACCCTCA